CCTCAGCCTCCCGAGTAGCTGGGACTACAGGCGCCCGCCACCTCGCCCGGCTAGTTTTTTGTTTTTTTTAGTAGAGACAGGGTTTCACTGTGTTAGCCAGGATGGTCTCAGTCTCCTGACCTCGTGATCCGCCTGCCTCGGCCTTTTTTTTTTTCTTTTTTTTCGAGATGGAGTCTTGCTCTATCACCCAGGCTGGAGTTCAGTGGTGTGATCTTGGCTCACTGCAACCTCCACCTCCTGGGTTCAAGCGATTCTCCTGCCTCAGCCTCCTGAGTAGATGGGATTACAGGCATGTGCTACTACGCCTGGCTAATTTTTGTATTTTTAGTAGAGACGGGGTTTCACTATGTTGGTCAGGCTGGTCTCAAACTCCTGACCTTCTGGTCTGCCCGCCTCAGCTTCCCAAAATGCTAGGATTACAGGCGTGAGCCACCGCGCCTGGCCGGTACAGCTATTCTTTAGAGTATGTAATGGCTAGAGAATGGCAGGAAATGAAATGACCAGGTTTTTGGGATTCCATCATACTTTTATATGCCATACCAAGGAGCTTGGAGTGTTATCCTATAGGCAGTGGGCAGCTATTAAAGGATTTTAAGAAGGAAATGACTGCCATTTTAGAAACGTAACTGCTGGCGTTGTGGAAGACGGAACGAAATGGAAGTTTGGCACTTAGGAGAACAATTGAGAGGCTATTGCTATAGTATAAGGCAGCAGTCCCCAACCTTTTTGGCACCAGGGACTGGTTTCATGGAAGACAGTTTTTCCACGGATGGGGGGGATGATGGTTTTGGGATAAAGCTGTTGCACCTCAGGTCATCAGGCATTAGTTAGATTCTCATAAGGAATGCGCAACCTAGATTCCTGGCATACACAGTTCACAACAGGGTTCTCGCTCCTGTGAGAATCTAATGCTGCCGCTGATCTAACTGGTGGTGGAGCTCAAGCAGTAATGCTCGCTCATACCCCCCGCCCCACCTCCTGCTGTGCTGCCGTGTTCCTAACAGGTCACAGACTGGTACCGGTCAGTGGCCTGGCAGTTGGGGACCTCTATTATATGGGATACAAATTTAGGAGTTGGAATTGACACAATTTAGTGACTGATGGGATATGGGGGGTGAAGGGCATGCAGAAGAATCTAGGATAACCCACAGATTCATGATTTTAGAGACTTGAGTATATGGTGGTACCACCAGCTACAAAAGTTAGGAAATATAGAAAGAATAGATTGGTAGACTGATAAGCTTTAAGACATGTTGAATTTGAGGTACCTGAGGATCATTCGAGTTGAGGTATTCACCAAGCAGTTGAGCTATCCCTGAGTCAGGAATGCTTCACAAGTGAGTGCCTATGTAAATAGTCCTTCAGCAACTAGATTTCAAGGCATCCTCTGCCGTCACATCTCTCCTCCACTCCCACCAGAATTGCTGAGACTGAAGCCCCTACCTTCCCTCTATAAGGCTGATTCCCTGAGTACTACTATAGGAGCTGCCCAGAGATTGTAACCACTATTCCATTCTCCTTACTCCTACCAGTTTTAGAAATATTTCACCCTCAAGACTTAATAAACTGATCCAGGAATTTAATCCATTATTTTAAATAGTATTTCAATGGAAAAATGTATTTAGAGTTTCAAAGTATCAATTTAGAAATGAACTTTTTCTTTCTCAGTAACTAGCATAATTTTCAACCTGTTTGCTCAGGCCAAGATTCTAAGCATCATCCAAATGTCCTTTTTTTCTCATATCCCACATGTAATCCATCAGCAAAGTCATGTGGTCTCTTGTGAGAATCTAACCGCTCACCATCTTCACTGCCATATTCCTCATCTTTTGCCAGAGTGGCTACAGGAGCCTGCTGACTGGTCTCATTATAATCCATTTTCCACATAGCAACTTCAGTCATAAATAATCAGATCAAGTCACTCCCATGCTTGAAACCTTTCAATGGCTTCCCATTGCAATCAGAATGAAATCTAGCTCCTGCCCATGGCATTCTAGGCTACATAATCTGGTCCTTGCCTATCTTTCTGATTTCATACTCCTCCTCCGTTCCCATTGTTCACTCTACTCTAGCCATACTGGCCCATTTTCTCTCTTCTAGAAAGGACAAGTTCAACCTTGTTTCATTCTGCTTGGAACATTCTTGCCCTAGTTATGGGTCTCAATTCTTATATTACTTCTTCAGAGAGGGCTTTCCTGGACTTTCTAATAAAGTAGTGCTGTACTCCTACTTAGTCATTCTTCCTGTGCTCTAGTTTTGTTTTTTTTCTTAATAGTACTTAATCCCATTTGAAATTGTCTAATTTGTTTATTTATTGATTTTTTCCTCCTACTGTAATGTAGGTATTAATTTTCAGTTATGTCCTAATTCCCCAAATTTCAGAATATCTTTAGACTTGGCAGGGGGTGGTAGTTACTATAAGAAATGATAATGTTTTAAAATTGTTATAAAGTACTTAAATTGTCTTGAAGTTATACATTATGTTTTATTAGCAAACGGTATCTTGTGTTGAAATGATAAAGGCTGGATATTAGATAAGAATAATTCAACCTGAGAAAGCTGATAAGGAAAAAAAAAGAACTGGCTAGAACTGACCTTTAAAAATCTGCATTAGGCTGACAGTCACAACCTCTGAGCAGTCTTATAATATTAATCATTATTATTTTGTCCATTTTTTAATGTGGGTTTTAGTTAGATTATTGTGATATATAAGATGTGATTGCAGTTGCCAGATGCCAGGCATGCTAACACTTCTGTTTGGTTATTTTTCAGGGTACAGCTCGCAGAAAGAAGAAGGTGGTACACAGAACAGCCACAGCTGATGACAAAAAGCTTCAGAGTTCTCTAAAAAAACTGGCTGTGAATAATATAGCTGGTATTGAAGAGGTATGATCGCTTTGCAAGTTGTTAAATTATGTGGGTACATGCACAAATAATTGTCTAGGCCTTTCAGATGTAAAATATCAGCTTAGAAAAATCTTTGATATTGTCACTGATGTCTTTGAAGGACTGTGGCACTTTGATTTTTGTATGAAATTAAATGATGCTCAAAAAAATAATTTTAGTAGACAGTGAAAGATTTTCATCATACTTTTCAGGCTCAAGATATTTGCATATATGACAAAATTATGTAACTGCTTTTGATTATTAATATAAAATATGTCTCCAATAATATAGAAATAAACCCCAACATTTCTTCAGATGAGATAGACTTTTTTTTTTTTTTTTTTTTTTT